TCTCCACAGCAGATAGACACACTGGTCAGATCTGCGGTCTCCACAGCAGACACACTGGTCAGAGCACTGCCTCGACAATCTGAAAGAGTGAACTGGGACATGAGGGAGGCCTAAAGAGATGTCTCTGGTTCACTAGGGAGTGTCCTTGAAGGGGACTGAGGTGCACTGTGCTCTTCTCCCTTTCATTCCTGGACAGGTGGTCAAGGGGCTTCCTCTGCCATTTGCTCCCACCATGGTTGCTGTGGAAGGTGAACATCAACCTCGGACAAAGCCTTCCAAAGCAAAGCCTCTCCTCTGAGCCAACTTAACACAGTGTTATCCGGGAGAGACCCAGACAGTGGCAGACGGATTTTAACTAATTCAAGTGATCATGTCATTGTAAATCATTTCCAGTTTTAGGGTTTGGTGAGAATTCTCTTAATTCACAGACCTGTAAAGCTCCAAGGAGCCACAAGAGGAGGTGTGGGCAAGTGCATATAAAGCTGATTATTTACCACAGTCCTTATCTGCTGGGGGACGACATGCATAAGCTATTCCAACCCTTCTACAGAATATCACACCCCAATTCCAGGTAGCAATGTCTGCTGTGAGATGGTGGGTTTCACCTGGGCTACCCTGAAGCAGGGTTTCCCTTGGGTGTGAATGCAAATCATCTTGAGTTCTGGCCCAGGCCTCAAATGGGATGAGTACAGATGTAGTGAGACAGTCTCCTACAGGTACTAGAAAGCCCTGCTTGAATCCTGGGCTGTTGTGTGGCAGACCCTGCACTGACCACTTGAAACCAGTGCTACTGAGGACTGTTTATGTATTTAAGTAGCTATGGTACCAGTGTGATCCTGCATGCCCACAACTCGGTACATTTAAAACCACTGAAGAGGCCAGTGCAGGAAAGGCCTGCTGCCAAGCCTGATGACCTATGTGATCAGAGAGGAGAACTGACTGCTACAGCCTGTCCTCTGACCTCCATGTGTGCACACTCAGGTAATAAATGGATGTTTTGTTTTAAGGCAGTATATTCTAGAAATGTGCAAGTATACAATCCATTTATCAAAAGGCCCAGGTATTTTTTTTCCATTCCTATGTGATAGCCAAAATGGAGTACAATCTACGCAGACCAGTCCTGACAGCTGTGAGTTGAAATCACTCACTGTTAGGCTATGGTGTCATATAAGTAAGCCTGAAATGACAGTGACAAACTGAAATGTTATCTGCTTACATTTTAATATGGAAAAGACTACCTAAAATAGAGTGGATGCAATGAACTCTGTTGAGGTGTCCTTTAATGAGATGTAAAAACTGGTTAGGAAAATCTGACTCTGGCTTATCTACTAAGGACTTCAGGTTTGAAGAAGAGCACTCTCTACACCACAGTAAAAAGCACAAAGGTCTTAAAACTGACAAGCAATGACCAGAGGCAGAGGAACACGGAGAAGACAGAAGCAGTTATTTTAAATGGTCTCTAAAGTCATCTGTAACCTACAACTTAAGAAAAGTCACAGCACTAAACACCTCATGTCCAGAGTCTGCTCACATGTGCTTTTCCTTCCCCAGAGTGCCTATGCACTGGGCGGCATCACCCACCTGAGTTGGGTCTCTGTAATCACAGGCCTTCAGCAGCACCAGGCCTCCTTTCTGGCTAGAGCGGCCCTGAGCTACCAGACATTTGTTGGTCTGCAAATGGTAGAGCTGCAAAAAAAACAACAACAACAAAAAAAAAAACAGTGTTTTTGAGGACTTCCATGCAGACATCTTGGTACCTTGGGGATGTGTGCCTGGAATGGAAATGCTATTCCACAGTCCCAAATAAGAACCCAGGAGCTAAGAGGAAGCCAGGAAACAAAGCCAGGAATGATGACTTAGGACTGTAACCAAAGCACTCATGGAGCTGAAGCAGGCAGATCATGAATTTGAGGCCAGCCAGCCAGGGCTACACAGCAAAACCCTGTTTAGACATTTTTTTTTCAGTTTTGTGTTTTTTTTAAGTATACTATGTATATGCTGACTTGGATATACAGAACCACCAAGACCTTCCAACAGTGATACAAAGATCAAGAATTATGCTGGAAGGGATTTCAACTACATAGGCACAAAATTATCTCTCTTTACTTAAGAAAAACACCCAATAAACATCTTGATGGTTGTTTGGGGTTTTATAAAATAAATAAGGAGAAAAGTACTAGGCTCAATTCTGAAATAGAAAAGTTGGAAGATGTGCCTTAGGAATTTAAAGAGGGAAACCCACAAGAACACCAGCTTTTTTCTGTCTGTGTGTGTTTGCACAGGTGGGGGAGGGGTGTGCATGCTTGTGCAAGCTTCCCCCTTGTTCACTGAGGTGCAAGGTCTACCAAAGAAACCCAGAGCTCACTGGGCTTGCTCCAATGATCCAGGCTCTGCCTCCCAAGCACTAGAATTATAAGTGGACCCCGACAACTGCCCAGTGTCTGCATGGGTTCTGAGCTCCAAACTCCAATCCTCACACTGAGCTGCACAGTGCTTTATCAGCTGAGCCATCTCCCCAGCCTCCAGAATGCCAGTTTTAGAAATTACTCAGAGCTCAGAACAGCAGACCCTAAGCCTTAAGTGCAATTGGAAAGGGTCCACAGTGTGCCCTCTGCTAAGCTCTGAAGACTGCCAGTGCGTTGAGTGTGAAATCTCACTGCATGTCCCACCAACTTAACTGTCACTTTCGATCTCTATCTGAAGTTGGTTCCTAGAGCTGAGACTGACCAGTAACAGCTGCTGCGTTTTCCTGCTCATCTCCCTTTGAAAGGATCATTTCAGGTCTCAAACTGCCTTTGTCCCGGACTGTGTCTCTACTCTTGGAAGCTGATACATAATCTACATAAGGTCCCAGTCCCTCCAAGGCAGTAAGTACAGGATCTTGACCTGGGTGTAAACAGCAAACACATTAAAATTTGTAAGCTTTTCTACTAGAGAAGAGAGAAAATGAAATTAAATCTGAGCTAAATCTAGATTTATCACAGGACCTCAGAAAACCTTCCTGCTATGCCCCTCCCAGTGGAACCGTCAGATAGGACTGCTGCTGCCTCACCCGTCCACGCAGAAGGACCCTGGGGCGCTTGGGCCCTCTGTTGATGAAGATGGGCTGCTGAGGTTTGGCGTTCGGGCCAGGTAGCTGCATCTCAGGGTAAATATTGTCCAAATACCACTTGAATGATTGACAGCCCAATTTCTTCCTCAATTCAACACGCTCACTGATATTTCCGAAGCTCTTGGTCTTCAAATCAGGTCTTAAGGAAAAATACTGCTCCTAAGTTTAAAAAAAAAGAAAAATGGAATTTGCTGCTGGAGATATATTATACATTCTTTGAGGAAAACACAGTCTTGTGTTTTCTTAATGTCAAAGTATCAACAGGAACTTTCCACATGCCTGTCACTAACCATAACATAAACTCAAGATATATTTGATTTCACAGAGGACAAATTAGAGGGAAATCTAACTCGGTGGATGTAGTAGTCTGAAAGAAAATGCCCCTCCTCCCCCCGGGAGTGGCACTATTAGGAAGTGAGGCCTTGTTGGAGTAGGTGTGTCACTGTGGAGGTGGGCTCAAGACACCCAGTGTCTCAGTTGACTTCCTATTGCAGGAAAATGTAGGACTCTCAGCTCCTTCTCCAGCACCATGTCTGCCTGCATGCTGCCTTGCTTCCCACCATGATAATGGACTAAACCTCTGAACTGTAAGCAAGCCAGCCCAATTAAATGTTTTCCTTTATAGAAGTTGCTTTGGTCATGATGTCTCTTCACAGCATCAGAACACTAAGGCAACAGATTATGTGTAAGATGAGTGACTCAAACTCTGACCTCTATTATTCTCAACATGCGCTGAAGATCCAGGTTTCCATGGATACCAACGATGTTAAAATTAAAACTGATCCAGACATGGCTGCACACACCTTTAATCTCAGCACTAAAGACGCAGAGGCATGCTCTGAGTTCAAAACCAACCCAGTCTATGTAGCAGCTCCAGGCCAGGCAAGACTACATGGTTAAGACCCTATCTTAGAAACAATACCACTAACAAAAACAAAAAAACCAACGGTTTTAATTTTTTTAATTCATTTAGTAAAACTTTTTTTTTTCAAGACAGGGTTTCTCTGTGTGGCTCTGGCTGTCCTGACCTTGCTTTATAGACCAGGCTGGCCTCAAACTCACAGAGATCCACCTGCCTCTGCCTCCTGAGTGCTGGGATTGAAATTGTGTGCCACCACCACCACTGTCTAGAAAATCATCTTTTCTTATGTGGCTCATATGTACATTTACCCTGATACATGGAGGGGTGCTTGCCTTGGTGCATTTGTGGCCGTCAGAGGGCAACTCTATGGGGCTGATTCTCTTTCCACCTTTGGGTGGGATTCTGGATCAAGCTGATTGCTAGACCTGTGCGGCAAACATATTTACTACTCAGTCATCTCACTGCTTTAAAATAAAACCTCATGAAAAAATGTAGTACAAACATAAGGAGTATTTTCAAAGCTATTACAAATATGGCTATTCTTGTATTAAATGTTTAATATAATAAGTTATTTGTAATTTTCTGATACAGTATAAGCACACAGCCCAGAATGGCCTCTAATTAACAGTCCTGCCTCAGCCTTCCCAGTGCTGGGACCACTACACAGCAGCATGTCTAGTATATAACTCAGTAACTTTGATATTTTAATTTGATAGAAAATAAGAAATCATACCAGTGAGATTCCCCTTTGTTCTTGCTTCCTCTTTGAATGTTCTTTTTACACATGCAAGGCTTTGTAACATGTACTACTTACTTGAAAAGCACTGGTCTATGGCTGTGCAGTTCTTCCAAATACTGACGCACTTCACTACACAATAAAGTAATTTATGATTTCGTCAGAAAAGTTACATAGTGGCACACTTTCAAGCTCATAATGATGGGGGGTTTTGTTTTGTTTTTGAGACAGGGTCTCACTGCGTATCCCTGGCTGGCCTGGAACTCACGAGGCTGGCCTAGAACTCTCGAGACTGGATAGCAAGCCCTGCTGTTAAAGAGTGGAGTTTTATCATTTACAAGCCTGGCTCACTTGGAGAAGCTGCTGCCCAGTGTCATATGCAAGGCCCATGGACAACAGTGTAGCTCAGCACTCAGCTCACAGCACTGTACTCCACATGAAGTGGTCACATGACTACTGACAAGACTTCTGACTGGGTGACTGCTGTCTCTTCAATGAGTTCTTACAGGAACGCAGCTGGTGCTTCTTCACTCAGGCATGCAGTGTCTACACAGCAAGTGCATTAAGTGTCTGTATTCATCTGACCATGGAAATGAGTGAGACCCTGCAAACCTGAGTGGATGGCCAGAGCCAAGAGGTCAGCAAGCCACACTGTGGGATCTCTGCCACACGCAGATGATAACAATTCACAAGAGGCCGAGCCCCCGGAGCTCTGGGTTAGGAGAGGGATAGAGACAAACAGAACCTTTGCATGCTTTGAGCCCATATCTGCTCCCAGCTCCCTCTTCAGCACTTCACAGCCTGGGCATCTGCTGCCATTTCCCTTTACATCACAGGGTTGCAATTACTGTACATCCTCTTATCCATCTTTTGTCTCCAAAATAAGAGCTCAGGTACTTCGCCAGGCACCCTAGTGCATGCACGCCTGTAATCCCAGAGCAGGAAGGCACAAGGATGGAGTTCGAGACCAACCCATTTCAATGACAGTAGCAACTGCACACAAATAATCACAGCAGCATTTTCCTAAGAGTTAATGTGTAAACAAGCCAAATGCCGAGGTGATGGCCAGATGGACAGAGTATCCCTGAGCAATGGGAAGTAGTGAAGTGCTGAGACCAGCTACAACACAGCCCAGCCTAAACACAAACACCAAGTGAAAGCCACAGAGAAGGACACAGATGTGTGAGAGGCCTAGGAAAGACTGGAGCCAGGAGACAGATGTGGTTGTCTAGAGCTGTGGTCAGAGGTGAAACATGAGAAGTACAGTATTTCTTTGTGATGTAACAAAATGCTCTAAAATTAACATGCAACTTATACTTGATAAAGATTCTGCAAAGAAAACAAAGTTGTATAAGGTAGGGCAGCAATGGGAAAGGAATCTTGAGTGAGCAGTGAAGTCCAGTGGGTGAGGAAGTGCAGCCCAGTTCTGTGGAGTCCCAGACTCTGATGGGCACAGAAGGATCAGTGCACTGAAACAGAGCTGCTTCCAATGCTTACAAATCACACTCAGAAGTCAGGTGAGAACCCAAACCGAGTGACTCCCGGGTGAGAAGAAGCCCAGAGAGATGGCACGGCGGTGAAGGTCAGCCAAGAAGAACAAGCACGAGGGGGGTGATAGACACAGACACTCACCTTGTACTCATCCAACCAGACATGGGCCAGCCTCAGGGAGTTGTGTGTCATGGTGTCCTGGCCTTCAGGAGATCCGTATGGCCGCCTTTTTCGGAAAATGTGTCCTACTCTTGAGCAAGGGATGATGAAGAGCTTTCCGCCACACATCCAGATCTAGGCAGAGGCAGACAGACATGACGGACAGTTCAGACAGAAGCAGCCCGCGCACCAGCCTGTATGAAGGGTGGCTATGCAACTTACAGGTGTCTCTCCATGAGATCTACTCAGAAGAAAGTAGGGGCATTTAAAAATTAGGTCTTCCTGAAATTAAAAAGGCAACCAATTCTGAAAACATTCATTTGCTCCCATGTGTCTGAATTATGTTATCATCCTTTGTTGCATTAATGGACTTGCTCTTAAGGATTTGAAAACAGTTATGCATATTAGCTGGTCTTCTGTTTTTCATGTACTTTGTTTTTTGTTTGTTTGTGTTTGTTTTTGTTTTTTTCAAGACATGGTTTCTCTGTGTAGCTTTGGTGCCTGTCCTGGAACTCACTCTGTAGACCAGGCTGGCCTCGAACTTACAGAGATCCGCCTGCCTCGGCCTCCCAAGTGCTGGGATTAAAGGTGTGCACCACCAACACCTGGCTCATGTACTTTCTTTTATATACTTTGTTTCTAAGAAAACAACTCGTTTTTCTTACATGTTTGTACAGTGTTCCTGCATATGCACACGTTTGCATGTGTGTGGCATGCCTGCATATGCAGTGCACATGCATGAGATGAACGCTGGCCTAAAGTGAATATTGGGAATCTTGGGGCCTGAGAGATGGCTTGAGACAGCTCAGCGGTTAAGAGCACTGGCTGCTTTTCCAGAGGTCTTCAGGTCAATTCCCAGCAACCACATGGTGGCTCACATCTATAGTGGGATCTGATGCTCCCTTCTTGTGTGCAGATGAAATGCAAACAAAATACCCATGTACATAAACTACATAAATAATCTATCTTTACAGGGGTTAGGGCTCCCCTTTACCACTCTTCTACCGCATCCTTTGGAGGCAGTGTCTCAATCACACCAGAGCTCACTAGCATGGCTAGGAATTTGTCTGGGGATCCTGTGTCTATGTTCCAGGGCTAGAACTACAGATGAGCAGCCATGCCAGCCTGATGTTTACACAGGCTCTCAGGACCCAGACATCTCTACTCTTGCTTGCAGGGAGAGTGGTTTGACCACTGAGCCATCTCCCCAAGTCCAAAGTCTTTTTTTCTAAATGATACAAGTGATTCAGATTCAAGAGTACTTGGTTGCAGGCAGGGCTGGGAGGCTGGGAGGCTGGGAGGCTGGGAGGCTGGGAGGCTGGGAGGCTGGCTCAGGGAGCAGAAGTGCTTGCCACCAAGCCAAGCCTGATGACTCCTGTTCGATCTCCAGGAGCCACACGGCAGAAGGAGAGAACCAACTCCTGTAAGTTGTGCCATGGCTTCCACATGAGCACCATAGCACATGTGTGTGCTTGTGCAAACACACATTTTTTTAAAGAACCTTTTAACACATATGCATGTTGCATCGTGTGTGAGAGTATATACTTTTAACATTTATGGGATTCATTTACTTTTGCTAAAAAGAAAGAGAACAAAAGAAAACTGAACCAATGATATGTATATAAACTTTCAACCCGAAAAAAAATTTGGAGAAAAACTGTCCTTTAAAGCACCACAGTGGTATGTTTTCAAAATTATAAACAGACATGTATAAGTACTGTGCTACGGGCTGATGGGGACTCTGCACACAGGTCCAGATGGGTGGGTGGTAGGTGGGGCCCACCTGCTCAGAAGGTTCTCTTTGCCCCTAACTGCAATTATATTCCATTACAGACAATTTAATAACAGAACACACACAAAACCAAAATTACCCGAAATGAGATTTCCAGATTTTCTCCTCCCCAGATATCCATGCCACTGTCATACTGTCCAAGATCATTGAAATACTGTCTATTCATTGCAAACAATCCTCCAGCCATTGTAGGTGACCTAGAAAAGGACCACAGCCTGTGCTCATTCAATAGAACCAGTTACCTATTGTTTACAAAGTCTCTGTGACTCTAGGACACAGTAGATTAGCTGTCATTAGAGAAAAGGTAAACAGTAAAAGGATAACAGATAAAAAGGAAACATTTTCATCCTATAAGGGAGCAAGCTAGGCCACATACCTGAATTTTCTGGATTGCTGGGGCTATATAAGTATCTGGCATAAGGTTACATTCTAAGTATCAAAGTACTATTGTTACTGTAACCGAGTTTGATAGACACCCAACTCAAATGACTTAATTCCTTTTGATGGCCTAGTAGAGGCACTGGACAAAGCCTGAGTCCAGGGCCTGCTGCCACAGAGACAGTCTCCCTTCTGAGCTGAAGAGCAGCAGCAGCGGCTCTCACGAGGCTGACTGTGCCAGCAGTGACATCCATGTTAGAGCGTTCGGAGCTCTGAATATTTAGAGCCATCACACTTAGCATGTGAGTGGGATGGAGGGGCCACTACTGGCATCTGGTCTGAGGCCAGGGATTCTGTTAACTCCTAACACATGAGGGTCCGTCCCTCCCTCCCTCCCGCACAGCAGCTTGCCAACAGTGGACAATTCGGGTTGAAGTTGTAGCCCCCTGCAGCAGGCATTACCCAAAGGCTCAGTCCCAACCTCTAGGCATGTGACCTCCTGACCTGAAGCTAGGGATTCATGCGCGGGTTCTACTGTCTGAAACTGCCTACAGAAGAACTCTAGAATGTCTAACAAAAGAGCAGACAGATAAATAAGCAGGCAACCAGGGAGGGTAAATCACAGAAAAAAACAGTCTACAACAAAACAGTCACAACAAAAACAGATGTGAAAGTTTTAATTATGAAGCTATCAAACAGACTTCAAAATAACTACTCAATACACTCAAAGAAAAAAGAGACGATTGAAAGCTCGGGAGAGAACTAGATACGCTGAAAACCATTTACATGGACTAGATGTGGCTCAGCTGGTAAGGGGGCTTGTAGAGCAGGTGGACATCCCTGGCTTCAATCCCCAATCCTGCAGGTGTGGCAGTTACATGGCATGAGCCCAGTCTGTATTTAAAAAACAAAACAACAAAACCTATTTATACATGTCTGAAAAACATTTTGGAAAAAAAAAGTATCTTCAAAGGAATCAGACCTAAGACGGCCAGCACTGTGTTTGTAATGATAGTTGCTGGGAGGGAAATTCCTTTTCTTCAACAGGGGGCCACCGAGTCTACGGCAAAGCAGGCCATGCCCTGGAAGAGTTGTCAGCACAGAACGGACTCTGGGGAGGGGAGGGTATTTCTGTGTGTGCTTTTTGTTCTTGAGTGTTTTTTAAGAAAGAAATATAAAGTTGGGTGGGGAGGGAGGGAGATATGGGAGGAGTTGGTGAGGGGAAAGAATATGACAAAAATATAGTATATGAAAAATTAAAAAAACTAAAAAAGGACTGATATGACTTCTTGTCTGCAACAGAGGTTCCTGAAGGCTGCATCAAGTTACGTTCAGGTCTTGTACAAAGAGTGTGAAGCACAAGTGCATTACACAGTTAGACTTGGGCTCCATCCCCAAATCTCCAGTTATGGACATGCAAATATTCCAACGTACAACAAAAATACCTGAATTCTAAAGCACTTCTCATCTCAGACAAAGAGATACTCAGCCTGTAGTGAAGAACTGGAGATGAGTCTGACACAGACCACAGCACACAGGGGCACCCACACTACCCCAGAAGCAGTTACCTATTTGCCTCTCTCACAAACGACACAACACTTAGGGGCACTAACAGTTTCTTACTCTTAACTCTGGGCTTGCCTTATATAAAACTGTACCCCTAAGAATCTTTACTGGAGGTGGATCTCTGAGTTTGAGGCCAGCCTGGTCTACAGAGTGAGTTCCAGGACAACCAGAACTATTAAACAGATAAATCCTGTCTCAAAGACAAACAAGAAAATGAAAACAAAATTTGTTGCGTTTTTGAGACAGGGTCTCTCTTTGTAGCACCTCACTTCAAAATTTTTTTTACTGGGTAAGTTAGGTCAAGACCCTTGCCCCTTACAGAGAAGATTTTCCTTAATACACTATTCTTTTCTAAGGAAAAGCTAGTGTTCTGTGCCCATCTCTCTTACCTTATTGGTGCAGTGGCCCCGTCAGCTCCTCCCAGCTCGGACACAGGAACTAAATCCCACTTGAAGTGCAGTCCCCAGTTGAAACCACCCCGTACCACTGGGGATGAGCTGTAGGCCAGTGTGTCAGCGCTGATGATGTCAATCACGGGGCACACCACAGTGTGTGGATCCTCAAGGATGATGGCCAGCAAGGGCTGCAACCACATCACGTTGACCTCACAGTGGCTGTCTAGGAACACGAGGACTTCTCCTGCCGAGGTGAAGGGAGAAGGTGGGAAAGTGGTACCTCGCACTTGGCCCAGGTGCAGCTGAGCAGCAAGGATGGGGATGTTAAGTACAGGCCATGGATGGCCACCATGACCACCCCATCAAGAAACTACTCTCTGCACTGCCAACTGGATTCAGGAGAATAAATCCTTTGGCCGAGAGTTTTCTCTGAAATGTCCACTGTCATGGAGAGACCACAAACCACGTGTACGACCCCAACAAGCAGTTGGGCAACTGAAGAGACTCCTCCTCTCCCAGCGGCAGCAGGCCCTGTGGTTCTTGCAGTGACACTGGCCAGGTGTGGAGTCCACTTTTACTACAGTCATTTTACTCAAAGTATCTAATGGAGTACATCCCTGCCGCAGAACTGCACCAGAGGCTCACCAATGGCTCAGCATCACTGAGAGCTGGCACCACTACACCATGGGAACTTCCTTCAAAGACGGACTGCTGTGCCAACCACAGTTTGACACCGTCCACACATATCACCCTTCTCCCCTGGATTCTCCACTGTACTACCTCCAGCTCACTTCTTATTTCCCATAGGACTCTAAGGGATTCTTTCAGCCGTATTAGCAAATATAAATGACTAAAACTTCATCCTGTTATCTTTGCATCTTCTTGTTGTTACCTTTGCATCTTGTGGATAAATGTGAGCAAGGTTGAGAACTGTTGGTTTTGATAACTTCAAATTTATTTGAGAAACTGGAATTATCAGAGAGTAGGATTGTTCTAAATAAGCATCAGAATAGATTTTACATGATTTATTAAAACAAATTATTGAAAAAAATACCCCTAAGTTTTCAATGATGTCAGCAAATTAGCCACAAACTCAATGTGTACATAAAACATCTAGCAATTACCTAATACAGAATGCACACAATTACCTAATACAGAATGGAAAATGAGGTCAGGGTTTTGGATTTTTTTGTTTTTGGTTTTTTTTTTTTTTTCAAGACAAGGTTTCTCTGTGTAGCTTTGGAGCCTATCCTGGAACTCACTCTGTAGCCCAGGCTGGCCTCAAACTCACAGAGATCCACCTGCCTCTGCCTCCAGAGTGCTGGAGTTAAAGGCGTGCGCCACCACTGCCCGGCTGAAGTCAGGGTTTCTTTAAGGAGAAATGTCTTCATAGCTTTTCTTAATTCTGAAAGTACTACTTTTTGAAAATGAGGCCAAGTTAGTTAACTAAATGCAGTATGATTCTACATGGCTGCACCAAACCTGCCATAGCGATCTCAAACTGTCTTGAACCGGGCAGATCCTATGCCATATCTGAAGGAAGACAAGGAGGTCATAGCAATAACAGTAAATATGCACTGCGGCACTGCAGTGGCTCAAATGGCACAGTCTTCAACGCTCCAGAGTTTTCTCCAGCACAGCCAACTTTCTTTAGTCTTGGCTCCAGCCCTGGAGAAGCAGATGTCTCACTGACCTAGGGCACTGGCTCTGACTGGATGCAGAGGGCTGCTCTCCTTTCCTGTCCACTGCTTCTGATCACAGGAGGTTTTGAAAGAAAAAGACCAAATCCCAAAAGTGAGATCCCAACCAAGTACAACAAGTGCAATGGCCCATGGCGACTATGGCAACAGGGGAGTGTGGTGGTGCCCAGTGCTTATCATCCCAGACCCTGCGGGGGTGGGGGGGATCTGAGGCAGAGCAGTTCACAGCAGGGCACAGGTGACACTGCTATGAGGGAAAGACTCAAGTCAGGACTTACCGAACTGACCTCCTGACTTCTGATATGCCCAGGAGCTACTTTAAACAGATTCATTTGTCTGTACTTTTAAAGGAAACTATTTTAGTCAAGATCAATAAAAGAAAATCAGGAATGCCAACCTTACACCTCTATCTTTCTAGGTAAACATAAAAGAGATCCAGCCAGGTGTGGTGGTACATGTCTATAATCCCAGTGCTTGGGAAGTAGAAGCAGGGGCCCTGAGTTCAAGATCATCCTCAGCTACATAGCAAGTAGGAAGCCAGCCTGGGCTCAAAACAAAGGACACAAGGGAAGCCCAAGAGAACCGGAGTGTACTCTCTACACAAGGCTGGTCTGCACCTGCTCTCTATAGTCAGGGGGAGACTGGTGTGTGCCACATGATGGAGAGAGGGGCCTGGAAACCTCCCAACAACAACAGAGACTCTCTCCTACATGCTATCAGTGTTAAACACTGTTTACAGTTACCAAGTAAAATCCTGACCCTGACCCTAGAGCTGTACACTCCACAATAACAACTATTGGCATAATTCAAGTCAAGCAGTTTGAAGTTTATATGTTTCTGTATGAAATTTTTAAAGTTCAGTTACTTGTTAGCTTGGACTTTTCTAGTTATGTAAGCAGCAAGATAAGAAACCTATTTTAGAGGCCAATAATTAACTAAAAAGCCACTACTGAAATAGGTCTGTGAGGGTTCTAGCAGTAGTTTTTGTCCTCTGTGCTTGAGGGCAGCAGGTCAGTTATGAAATCTTCCCAAACAGAACAAGCTTCTTCACTCCTTTGGACAACAACCAATGAAAACATGGTGTAGTGGTTTGAATGAGATTGAACGGGTGGACTGAATGGCCCCCAAAGGCTCATGTTCAAATGCTTGGTCCCCACTGGATAAAACTGTTTGGAAGGATGAGGAGGTGTAGCCTTGTCAGAGGAGGTGTGTCATTGGAGGTGGGCTTTCTGAGGTTTCAAAAACCCTTATTAGCTCTGTCTTGCTTGTGGGTCAGATGCAAGCTTCAGCTACTGTGCCATAATGGTCATGGACTGACCTCTGAGACCATAAGCCCACAGTCAAATGCTTTCTTTTATAAGCTGCCCTGCTCATGGAGTCTCCTCACAGCAACAGAACAGTAACTAAGGCTTTCTGTGGACCTCTGTAGGCATCCAAAACCACAGAGCCACAGCACAGATGTACCTGTAGCATGGGCTGCTCCGATCATTCTTCCTCGGATCAGTCCCTCACGTTTCCTATTTCTTATGACCTTGACTTTTGCAGGCAGGTATCTTTGGATGTATTCATCTAGCTCTCCTTTTAAATCATCTGAAAAGAACAGTTCCATAATTACTCACACCATATGAGACACATACCAAGACATCTTATAACCATTCTTAAAATTGTATCTGCAACCTAAGTCAAGATCTACAAGTGATCAAAGAAATGTGTTGGACTCTGCCTCACTGTAAAGCATCCCAGCATCCTCTGTAGGAGGAAAAAGAAACCCAGAGTGCAAGTTGGAACCTAGCCAAGAGCTGCCTTACATGTGTATTTCAATAGACAATGTCTCAAATGAAGCCAAACATGAAGGCTCTTGCCTGCAATTTCAATGCCCATTTTGGCTTGATAGTAAATTTGAGGCCAGCCTAGACTACAAAAAAAATAAATAAATAAATAAAAATAAAAAAAATCCAGGTGTGGTGTTACACATCTTTAAGTCCAGTACTTGGGAGGCAGAGGCAGGCAGACTTCTCTGAGATCAAGGCCAGCCTGGTTCTACATAGGAGTGCCAGGGCAGCCAGAAAGACCCTGTCTCAAAAAAAAAAAAAAAAACAAGCAACAACAACAAAAAAGGATAAATTTTGATGTCTATGAAACGCTCCAAAATTTCTCCCATAAAGTTCCTATATTTACCCAGGTTTGAATATTATGGTCTCAAGGATGTTGCGTTCATTCATCAGTCCATAAGTATGCTGGTGTAGAGCTCTACTGAGGCTACAGAGGGTCTAAAGAGTTGTTGCGTACATGGAGAATGTCTCCATGCCACCCCATCACTGGGTCTGCAGTGTTGTGCTAAAGGGAGGAGGCTGGAAGCCAGGCAGACTAAGTAGAACCTCCACTCGACTTCCCAAAAGCTATCCTGAGCAAGTCACTTCTTCTTCTATCTCCATCTCTGTACAAAGGATCCCCACTCATCTTGAAGGAGGCTAAGAGTTGAATGGAGCAAATAGTAGAAAGCTTTTCTTTATGAAGATCTACAGTTAAAGAAAGGTATGTAAAATACACGGTGATTCTCAGAAAACTGGCATCTAAGAGCTTTCTGAATGCAGTCCACTCTGGGAACAACTGGTGTAGCACACTTATTCTATAAGCATGGTCCACAGCACTGTGACAGAAGAAAAGTGCCAGTCTCAAAGGGCACATACTGCATATCCATCTAGATTACATTTTTGAAATGACAAAATTAGAGATCACCAGATACCAGGGAAGGATACTAGGGATACAAAGACAGAGTATAACTCTAAATGGGAGCATCAGGGGCTGCTGGGTGATGCAGTGTGCTTCTCAAGACTGCTGTTGCTAACAATCTTCATGCAGGATATTCTCCACTGTGGAATTCTGTTTTCTACACTGTACTCTAAGTATAAAAGAACCAACATGGGAAATCGGTTGAAGGGCAAACAGAAGTCTTCATAACTTCCTATCAATCTGAGCTTAATTCATAATGGACATTTTCAAAAGCAAGCCAAGGGGAAATTCCCCAGGGGCAAATTGGGATAACACTGTAAGCAGATTACAAAGATAAAGTACTTCAGTAAAATCGTTCTGTAATCAATGGACAGGCTGTAAGCTCGCATCACACAGTGAATAAGAACCTCGATGAATCGTGAGCAGGCACAGCATCGCTTACCAAAGTCACTGTTGTCATCGACAAGGATGATCTCATGCAGAAGGTGTGCTGGCGTGCGGTCCACAACACTGTGCACAGTCCGCAGCAAGGCCGAGAAGGCTTCGTTGTAGAAACAGATAACAACACTAGCAGTTGGCAGATCAGTTGGGTAGGACTTTCCTCTACACCTTGAACAATCAAAACAAGAAAATCTGACAGTTCAAGAGGCTCCAATGTCTCGGGTTATTTCCTGCTATCTTGTTCAGGTTCTTTCTGACATTACAGCAAATTTTAAGCATTTACAAAAACACTGTGGTTTAGTCTTTGCTTTACATCATGTTGATAAATTTATCTTTTATGCCGGGCAGTGGTGGCACACGCCTTTAATCCCAGCACTCGGGAGGCAGAGGCAGTGGATCTTTGTGAGTTCAAGGCCAGCCTGGTCTACAGAGCAAGATCGAGGAAAGGTGCAAAGCTACACAGAGAAACCCTGTCTCGAAAAACCAAAAAAAAAAAAAAAAAATTATCTTTTAAAATGTGGTTTCTTTCTTTTGGTAGAGAAGTTACATAATGAGTTGTTTTTCATGAAGTTACTGCATGTGTAGCACTCTGAAGTTGACATCTAGCTTCTCAATGAGGTTCCAAGTGGAAACAGCAATACATAACACTTTGTCTCTGGAATTTTTAGTTTTTTGCCTAATAGTGTAAAAAGCTTTGAGAGAACTGGGATGTTCTTAGTTGACAGACAGAAGAGCCGCCATGGACACGGCAGCTGCTGCATAGGTGACTGAGCAACAACAAAGCTGTTAAAGAATAAACTCAGGGTCCTGACCTCTTTCCTCCGTCCCCTAGTTCCAGCCTCCCGCAGCTCTCCCCCAGAGCCTAAGTGGATGGGGGTCAGTCCCTTCAACACAGCACTCATACTTCAGAGCCCTCTGTGCTGCCTCTCCAGGGGAAAGGCTCCTTGCTCCAGTGGAACCACTTGCGGGGAGGCCACACTGCTCCAGCAGCCCCATCTAGGCCCCGTTTCATGCTACTGTAATAACTGGTTTCCTCACCTGCCCCAAAGAGACTGAGCCCTGTGAACCCAGGGTACATCACCTCATCTGTCCAGGCCTATGCACTGCCTGGCAGACTGAAGGTGCTCAACGAACATCTGTCTGTGCCACGACTGACTACAAGAACAAAAAGCCTTTGAAAGAAGCACAGAAGATTGTGAAAAAGTACTAAGTCACTAGTTTTAATTCCTTATTGCCATAAATGCAATAAGAATTTTTTTTTGAAGTTTAGGTTCAGGTAATTGACTTGAAATGTCCAAAGACATACAGCAAGCTCTAAAACTGCATCATTACACTCTCAGACCATGGTTCTTCAAGAGTAGCAGGAGTGGAATCCAGTACACTGTTCTGGTATGCCAAATACTAAGTGCAAACTGAACATTGCCCTTGACTGCTCACACTGGCGTTAAAACACTGTCACTGGAATTCATCAGAAGCCAATAAGGAGCATACTCAGCATTCCTGGTGTCTGGCACATCTCTGTGGTATCCCAAGCGGTTACTAATAAGCATATTAAAGGCATGTTTCTGGTAGCCCAGGTCTCTCAATTCCTGATCACGTTCATTGAAAATCATACCTGAAAGAGAGTGAAATTACAGTCAGTGCCTTAGGTCTGGAAAGATGATCTCAA